CTACCTAATATGCACACAAAATTTCATGAGAATCGGGAAAGCCGTTTCGGAGGAGTTTAACCACAAACACCGCGACACGAGAATTTTATATATTAGATATACTCCATACGCACCGTTAGATGCTTTCTTAAAGTTTGACCTTTGTGTAGATTGTTACAATAAATCGGTAAAATTAAAGAGGAAGGTCTGTTCAGAGTGGCCACGTAATGATTGTCTACTGGCTGCCATCCGGCCGGTAATGAGAACCAAATGAAAGGGTTTATGCACCAAACTACCACATGAGCACAAAATAGATTGTACAGAAGGTAATCTCCATACTAAGTAAGTGCGCGCATGAAATCACTGCGAGCGCAAATTCTGTGAGCCTTTTTGTGCAAAAATGTAGTTTGACGATTGTTTGAATTCAACATTTAACGGTGAATTGTCTATTTTTCAAAATATGTAAGTACCTAAAATGACATGAAATATTTTAAATATTATTGGTTCATATTTCACTTCTTTCTGTTTCATTACAAACGATAAATCAAACAATTGTTTTTGTGCACAGTCAGTTGACAATCGTCACGCGACCGCCGAGCGTTGGTATGAAAAGTGAAATACATACGTGAGATTAAGACCTACCACAAAGATTTGCTTATAACCCAAGGAACAAGGACTATTCCGTCCTTGGGTGGCGGCATGTTTATCATTTTATAAAAAAGCAAATCGCCAATAAATTAGTTATGTCCGCTACGTGAGATTTTATTCCGTACTGTCTTTTTTGTGACATAATACATTATACAATAGCAACGTTTCACTGCGAACGCAACAGGCGCCAGTGCTCTGACTGAGCACACGCGTAATAGGGAAGACGACAAGGTAAAGAAACGAATTTCTATTCAGTCCGTCATTTAGATTATTTTAAAAGCTACTTGATAGACAGTATTTTTTTGTTTTTGTCAATCAACCAAAAAATTGCGAAGACAGAGCGCGACAAAGTTTGGGAGGTATGTGACATTTGAAATCAATATTTTTCTGTAACGTTTATATGAAGTGAATAAAGAAAAAATACGTGTCTAATACTTTTTTGATAATCTACCTAATGGACGAAGAAAATAGCTTAGCTTCTGTGCCTTTTCTACTCAGACCGGCCAACCAACCAACCAAAGCAGGCGACCAATCGATTCACCCCGTGAAGTAATAACCTTTTCCGCCGGCGTTTTTATTTTGGAACTTTAATTCTGAAGCCATTAACACGTTATGAAATGTTAGAGACTTCATTGGACATAACATTGAAGAATTTAGTATTGAATAGAGCGTCATAATAAATTATTAAATCAGCCATAAGTATACCGCGAACGACAAAGTTTTTCCCTGAGCTTTTCTGTTGAGATTTAAAAGTATGAAGAAAACTTTAGCTATAAAAAAAAAGCTTGTTTCATTTAGCAATTCGGAACGAAGTGAACCCTTATAAATAAATATGAACGCACTGGCTATTGAAAAAAATAACAAAGATATAAATTAAAAAGCGTGTTCGCCTCGGGACGCACGACAGAAGTGATATATTAAACTATCCTTTGTTGAGCACAGAAGATTGGTAGGTGAAAAGGGGATTGGAGGGTGAAAAGGGGATTGGAGGGTGAAAAGGGGATTGGAGAGTGAAAAGGGGATTCGAGGGTGAAAAGGGGATTCGAGGGTAAAATGTGATTGGAGGATGAAAGGGATTCAAAGGTGATAAGGGGATTGGTGTGTGATAGTAGGGGATTTGTGGGTGATAGTGGGGATTGATGGGAGAGGGAGTAGTGTGGGTCAGGGGGCACCCCTCTGGTACCTGGGCGAGCTGCGGCGAAGGGAAGCCAGACAGACTGGCGCCGTAACGCGTTATGTAACGAAGCGGTTGTTAAACCCTCCCACAAAAATTATCACTTCAAAAACCGGGCTAATATTTCTAGAAAATTTAATTGTGATAATATTATTTATCATCTTTAATTTCCCTTGCCTACGTTAAAAATTCGTATAGTTTTAAAAAGAAGTTAGATACTTCAAAAACATAACTTGAAAAAATTATTTACGCATTATATTATCATAAAGAATTGATTTAAAATAGACTACATACGTAAGCTTGGCGCCGATAGTATAAGCGTCCATTAGTAGACGTATACTTTCAACAAGTTCAATACAATCATTGAAACATTTTTACGATGGCGCCAAACGTTAAGGGGAATAAAAAAAAATATAGACGCGCGAAGGTAACCATATCCGACAGCCAAAAATATCGGCGAATCGGTTGAGTTTTCAATCCCCGCGCGTTTCGTATGCAGCATTCGATGCACGATTAAAATTTCAAATTATTCGTATCGCATCTCGGATTTTCGTTAATGTCGATGTTTTGGGAATACTAAATTCGTTATTCATTCATCATAATAAATTCGCTTTTTTTGCTAATTAAACGACTATATAAATTCAGGGGCTGTCGTTTTTCGCCCATTGTTTGTGACAACGCATTTTTTTTTGTATTAGGCCATAAATAAAAGCAATGTCATTCGATTAGTATGTACTTAGTACTTACATACGTACAGACAATCTAACATGTTGTTAAATACCCGGAAACGGTCAAAATTATGCAATTGATATTTTTCCTTCATTTTCAGGACTTGATCAATTGAACTTGCAGCTTAAGAAAGGCTAGAAAGAATTCGACACGGCCAACAGGGCTGCGGCAGCATAAATGGTTCGAGTCTCGTCTGCTGCCTGCTCCGCGTGGATTTTTTTCTAGTAATATTTTCTTTAGATTTAAACATGTTACATGCTTAAAAATAAAAATTATAACGAGATATATATGTGTAGTTATCACGAAGGGCTATGTTGACAAAACGGTTTGAAATGGAGCCAAAACTACTGTATTATTGCTGCCCGCTCGCGTCATTCATTGTACACATGGCGTCAATTGAATAACTGATACTGACAGAACCGAATCATCATCATCACCATTAGCCTATTAATGTTCCCACTGCTGGGGCACAGGCCTTCCCTATGGATGAAATAGGGAGATTGGGCTATGACCCACCACGCGTGGCCAGTGCGGATTGGCGGGTGCTAACGTCCGCAGATGCAGCCGGGACCAACGGCTTAACGTGCCGTCTGAAGCACGAACAAGCTCGAGATAGTTAATTTTTGGTCATCTATCCAATGACCGACCACTGCGAAAGTTTCTTAGCTTCAACGAACGAAACCGAACGCGCTAACCACTTGCGGCCTTAAACAACGGTTGAACACCATATTGAATATATTACGAAAAAAAGATTTGATGACTCGTTTCTTGTTAAAATATACACGCGGACAACACGCTGTCCGCAAATGGAATACTTTGCCCTCTCACGTGTACTCTCCAAAGATATTAAAAACCACCAAGTGTCGGCCACGATTTTGTTCATTTTGTTGTATCTAGGGTATTAAACTGGCAGATTCCCTCCCTCAACCCGGGGTTCTTTAAAAGAAGCGTTAAGAAGCATCTTGCAGGCTTGTCGGACACAAAATATGTCAATTTATCCCTGTAATATTCATATAATATAAGTTCTTTTTTTTTATGTGAAAACATCTTTAGCGCCTTTGTGATTAGAGATTCGATGAAACGGAGGTAGAGTAGGTATTTGACACAAGATAGGTATCCGTAATTTTATCATTCGACGACCTCCGTGGTCGAGTGGTTTGTACGCCGGGTTTCATGGTGTCGCCGACTCGAGAGGTCCCGGGTTCAAATCCCGGTGGGGACAGATGTTTGTGTGATGAATACGAGCATTTGTACTCCAGTCATGGATGTTTAATATGTATTTCTTTAAAAAAAATATACTTATATATGCACAGTTTATGTATTCTATCCGTTACCCTAGTATCCCATAACACAAGCCTTATAGTGCTTACTTTGGGGCTAGGCTAATTGGTGTGAGTGTTGGAAATATTTATTTATTTATTTATTATCATTTACCGTAAGAGACGATAGCCGAACGGTCTTGGGATCGACACCAATTGATCGGTGATTCAATCCTGAGCTAGGTGATTTTTTTAATTGTTATATGTAATTGTTTTTGAAGTGAAAACTTCTTTAACGGCGTTGTCGCGTCAGGTTAAACACGTGGGCTGATCGCATCATGACACACAATAAAATTGGAAAGGTTGTTGACTTTCAATATATTGGACGAAACATAGTAATATTTTAGTTTATCGTATTATAATAAGTCTCTATCTAGGACGTCCACGTGGCAGCTTTATTGAGAAGAAAATGCTTTTTTTTTAATAGATGTCGCTAGGTGCGCTTAAATGTGATTCATGTAAGTTGATTTCTTTACAATAGATGTGGCTAAGTGCGATTAAACGTGATTCATGTAAGTTGATTTTTCTGAGAGATAAACTTTTTTAATGTAATATAAATTGTCATGTTTGTGTACGATAGCGCAATAAATAAATATTGTATTCTACCACATACATGATCGTACTTTTAAACTGATAATTAAAGCAATTCGTGCATAATTATTCCCTAACCATTCCAAAATATCAAAAATGCACAACGTTAATATTCAAGTTTTCACTTCTGCTGGCGTTTTTTTTTATTAAGCTAGTATAAAATATTAAATTTTAAACTCGAGAGTCGAATTTTAACACAGATGTTGTCTGTAAGACATACCTAGTCATGAAGGACTTTACGGTGTTCACATTTGAGTAGGTTTCACTTCTATAGTTCTACACATTTGTGTAGTTCACATGAACAGCACATAATATCTGTTATTTTAAATCTTATTTATTCAGACGCTCTTACCCAATATAAAGGATATGCCAGCTCCATGATGGGGCTAACTATAAAATTTTGAAAATTATTGCAAAACTACGGAGATTCATTGATTCAATAAATATTTATAAGGCTTTTGAATACTTCCGATCTGCCAATATTGTTGCGAATGTCCCTACACCGAACACAAATTTCACAATTAGGTGATTCGATAAGTCATAATTATAAAAGAACTTACCCAGAACAATATCCCTGGCCGAACACATGCACGCCGTTGTGAGTAATACGAGAATGACAGCCAGTGACATTTCGCGGCAAAACGCAATGGCGGCGTTCGCCATCTTGCACCTCGGAACTCAACTCCTATTGGGATCCATTAGTTTCTGCAACAAACATAGAAGAATATATATATATAATACCTCTCGGGCATAGCGGGGTTTCCGCTCGATTAGAGCGCTTGTCTTGGGAAGTCCTCATGACAATAAAAATCTATAATAATGTACCTAATAATATAAAGAACGTAGAAATATCAGCCAAATTCAACAATCAATTAAAATCATATTTAATCCAAAAATGATTTTTTTGACGACAAATGTAATTAATTTTTAAAGTTGACATTTTCATTATTATTGTTGCTTATTGACATGTTAAATCTAGTTTATAAAATTGAATTGTTTGTTGTGTAAAAATTAAATTATTATTATTGTTGTTTATTGAAATTGTTAAATCTATTTTATAAAATATAATTGTTGTGTAAAAATGAAATGTGAACAAGTATTATAATATAACTAGCAAACCAGTGAACCAAATGTTCACCAAAAAAAAAATGTATTTAATTAATTGAGAACTTCGGAGATTTTGTGTGGTTTCGTTTGAAATAGAAATCACGTGATTTCTCGAAAACCGGAAGTGCTACGTAACTCAAATCCGGTTTGTAGTCTTATCAGACTATTCTTAACTTATAACTTAAACATTCTCTTTATCTATCTCTTACGGTTTGGCCGCTGAAACAGCACCACGGACGGACTTGTCTATTAGATAACAGATTATTTAACAAGCCCTCTGGCTAGATAGTTGCTATGCCCTTGCAGGGCGTTACATATTTACTTTACATAAATTAATGTACCATCATGAAGTCTGAGTTTCTTGCCGGTTCTTCTCAGTACAAGGTCTCCCGCCGTAGTTTTGCGAACCGATGGCGTAGCTTCTTGACCTTCACAAGTGCTTGTAACAGCCTAGACTGAATAAATGACTTTTCATTTCAATGTTATGTGACATGCAATAAATGAATAAATAAATAAATAATAAATGTAGTAACCTTCACCTTACACAAGACTTTTTCTTTCGAGTGTGCATGCTGATGGTCTGATGACCTTTACAGCGTCACCTGGTTTGCGGACTGTGAGATCCTAAGGATACCTCAAGCCGGGAATTGGCGAGTATTGGCCTTTAGAGGTATTCCAGGCGGATGGCATCTCCCACGGGGAGAGTCTACTCTCCGTCTGGAGCCTCTAGACCACTCGAACCTGAGGGGGTCGGCGCAACTAGAGGGCGTCTCTGAGACTTGGACCTTGGCTCTAGTTAGCCGTTGTCGTGAGGGGCGGGAAAAAACGCCCAGGTCCGTATATGTTTCACGACCTCCGTGGCCGAGTGGCTGGCCGGGTTTCATGGCGTCGCCGACTCGAAAGGTCCCGGGTTCGAATCCCGGTGGGGGCAGATGTTTGTGTGATGAACACGAGCATTTGTACTCCAATCATGGATATTTAATATGTATTTCTATATAAATATACTTATATATGTAAAGTATATGTATTCTATCCGTTACCCTAGTATCCCATAACACAAGCCTTATAGTGCTTACTTTGGGGCTAGGCTAAACGGGCGCTCCTAACTAAATCTAAAATAAAATTTAACTAAATCTGTTATGCTATCCCTGTCCGTCTTCTGCCGATTTTACTGAAGTAATAGAAAAAGACAACACTAAATTTTCAATGTTAATAAATTTATTTGACGTATTCGGTATTCTTTACTCTTGTACGGCTGTTACTTGCAAAATTCCTACCTGAACGGACTGACGGACTGAACATCTGTGTCCGTTCTATATTTAGAACTACTTAAATATAAGTATAGGCGATAAAATTTGAAAGGCAGCGCTTTGCGAGCTCGTAATTTCTGAAATACAGGGTGCGTGAAAACTCATAAATGTCAAAAGCATTCCCTCCACGCGCTGCCCGGTTAAATTTACAGGAGGTTTCATAATGGCGTGTTCTCAATGCCGTATTCGCGTTCTAAGATACAATGATGAACAGTCCCACTCAGAAACGCCTAATTAATTTGATGTTTCATCGTGAATCACGTGTTGTCTCATTCTATTGTAATTGGAATCAGAATCAGAATTTTATTTGTGGAACATAGGTTAGTATACATCTTTATATATATAATTCTTCTGTGAGTGTGTATGTCACTGAACTTCTCTTAAACGACTGGACCGATTTTGATGAAATTTTTTGTGTGTGTTCAAGGGGATCTGAGAATGGTTTAGATTCACAATTTTGTCCGCTGGAAAACCCCTATTTTTTTAAGGGCAGTACGAAGTTCGCTGGGTCAGCTAGTCTTTATATATATAATTCTTCTGTGAGTGTGTATGTCACTGAACTTCTCTTAAACGACTGGACCGATTTTGATGAAATTTTTTGTGTGTGTTCAAGGGGATCTGAGAATGGTTTAGATTCACAATTTTGTCCGCTGGACAATGTTTTTTTAATTAATTTTTAATTTATTAGTAGTTGTTGATTTTGGAATGTTTTACATTGGATCCGACAGACGGCGCTACCATCGCAGTGTCAAATTTTCAAATTAAAGACGTGTAGACAGGACAACGTCTGTCGGGTCCGCTAGTGGCATATAAAATTTTTGTTAGTATCGCTCCATTTCCACCTTAATTAAGGTATACAAATAGATATGGACCTATGAAAGAAGTACTATTATTTTTACATTGGAATCACAATTTATGAATATAATTTGAAATTGTCTATTGTTACATGCATGTCAAAGTAGATTATAAATTAATTATAAACTAGCAAACCAGTGAACCAAATGTTCACTAAAAAAAAATGTATTTTATTAATTGAGAACTTCGGTTATTTTGTGTGGTTTCGTTTGAAATAGAAATCACGTGATTTCTCGAAAAGCGGAAGTGCTACGTTACTCACATCCGGTTTGTAGTCTTATCAGACTATTCTTAACTTATAACTTAAACATTCTCTACATCTATCTCTTACGGTTTGGCCGCTGAAACAGCACCACGGACGGACGGACGGACTTGCCTAATAGATAAGAGATTGGAATCACAATTTATGAATATAATTTGAAATTGTCTATTGTTAAATGCATGTCAAAGTAGATTATAAATTAATTATAAATTTGATAAGCCATAAAGTTGTCATACTAAGAGTCAAAAATTTAATTGAAAAATAAGCAAAATGTCCAAAATAGCAATATAGGAATAGGATAAAAATTGACAGCCTTAACTATAGTCAAACTTAAAGGTTAATTGACTTTAATGAATGCGATCGGAGGAGCTCGATGGCGCAGGTGGATAGCGCGTTCGGCTGCGATCGTTGAAGTTAAGCAACTTTCGCAGTGGTCGGTCATTGGATGGGTGACCAAAGATTTACTATCTCGAGCTCCTCCGTGCTTCGGAAGGCACGTTAAGCCGTTGGTCCCGGCTGCATTTGCAGTCGTTAGCACCCACCAATCCGCACTGGGCCCGCGTGGTGGGTCATGGCCCAATCTCCCTATTCCATCCATAGGGAAGGCCTGTGCCCCAGCAGTGGGGACATTAATAGGCTGATGATGAATGCGATCGTTAATTGATAATTGTCACCAGTTTTAACTCTAATTAGTTCAAGTATTTAATGGTAAATTAGCAAAGTGTGAGGCGTGCTCTGCTCATACTTAAAGGGTTCTGTATCTTATTAAAATGTTTAACACGACGTAAGGCAACAACCCGCCAATCCGCACTGGGCCCGCGTGGTGGGTCATGGCCAATCTCCCTATTTCATCCATAGGGAAGGCCTGTGCCCCAGCAATGGGGACATTAATAGGATGATGATGAGGGCAACAAAAGACGAGAAAATCAATATCTTTTATTTTAAATTTTAATTCGGATCTATTTCGCATTCTCATAAAAATCTGTTAATACAAAAAAAAATCGATTCACGGCATTTTAATAAAATTCATATTGAAGCAGAGAGCTAGTGGGATGGAATATGAAGGCTAGGATTTAGGACGCAATGGGTTTATTATTATATCTAAGTTATTTACGGGATTGTTACCATGCACCTTGTTTTTAGCGCGTTTCCGATATTTCGGCACTGTTGTAATACGTACGGGTATCGAACGCAATAAAAGACTTCGTCGGAGGGTAGACCGATATGTCTGCCAATAACTGCCTACCCGCAATTACTTCAGTTACTCCGTGATCATGGCGCTTGCAACAGTGCCGAAATATCGGAAACTCGCTAAAAACAAGGTACATCGGTAAATAACTTATATTACTATAATGTTAGTGACCATAAAAGTTTAAAACAATATAATATTATATCTGATGACAAGCAAAGACTATGACACACAATAACAATTTTGATAGCAAAAATAATAAAAATGTCATTACTTTAAAAACACTTCAAAAAACCATAAAAACTAAATCTATAAAAGAGGTCGGCAACACATATTGTATTCATCTTTCTTCGAATTATCTTATCATCTAAAGGTTTGAAAAATGGAAAACTATAATGAACAGTTTACTTAATAAAAGTGCAATCTCGCTACTTAGACCCCATATTCTTCATCACAGGCCTTCCCTATGGATGGAATAGGGAGATTGGGCCATGACCCACCACACGTTCCCAGTGTGCATTGGCGGGTACTAACTGCACATGCAGCCGTGACCAACGACTTAACTTGCCTTCCGAAGTACGGATGATTTAGACATAGAAGATTTTTGGTCACCCATCCAATGACCGACCACTGCGAAAGTCGCTTAACTTTAACGATCGCAGCCGAAAGCGCTAACCACATGCGCCATCGGGCTCTTTGATGATATTCTTCATTACATGAAAATTATTGGAGTTTACTCCTTAAGAATCGATTTGCATATATAAGGGGCCCGGTATGAGAAAAATGTGAGGAGTAAAATCTATCGATGAATGACCTCGTTACGTTTTTGGTGCGCATCCTATGTCGCGCAACTTTGACAAACAAAGATGACGGATTGACATTAATATTTTTTTTTAAACAGGCCTTTCATCCCGTGCATGCATTGAATCAAACCAAGCCTGCTTTATTTTATTATATGAATGTTTATTCAAGTTTAATTTAA